AGGTCAAGGGAGAAGAAGGGTTGGGAGGAAGAAAACACGATTAGACAAAAACCAGTTTCTTTTTATATTTCTTGTTTATAACTTAAATCTTAATCTTATTATACATTGTTGAAGATATGAGATTTATCTTTAATTCCGCGACTCGAGTTTTGCAAGCATTACTGCCTTCTAATTAAAAAATAAACAAACTAAACAAAAAGAAGCAAAGCAAAAACAAAACAAAATAAAAAACAAACAAAAAACAACCCCCCCCCCAGGGAAAAAACAAAACAACAACCATGCTTTCATTCAATAGGAAATCACCAGGTTTCTTGAAGAAGCAGTAACTATAAGTCTATCGTCTTTAAAAAAATATCACCTGTAAACAAACCTCTATGGCTTTACTGTCTATTTTTCTGTGCCGTGCACCTCCCCTCCCCGCCTTCCACACACACACACAGACACACACACATACACACACACACACACACACACACACACACTCACACACGCACACACACACACACACACACAGACACCCACACACGCACACCCACACACGCACTACACACACTCACACACACAGACACACACAGACACAGACACACACACACACAAACACACACACACACACTCACACATACACACACACACACACCCACGCCCAAAACCCACGCCCAAAACCCAAGCCCAAAACCCAAGCCGATGTGCTCTCATTCTTGGCTCACGTGAGATCTCAAAATCTTTCACTCTAATTGTTGCCACTTGTACCTGCAGGTTGTGTTCCAACACTGATACAAGCCCGTTAAACTTGAGTCATTCTTTAAAGGTGAAGACCAGGTAATCCCAAATTTGAAACATTTCAACGAATGAAGAACAGACACATACTTGTAAAACTAGGATAATTTATTGGTCATTTTGGGTTTCAAAGTCCAGGTTTAAATTCCTAACAATTGCAGAAAGTTGCAGTTTGAATGAGCATAACAATACAGTCTAACATGGCCTGCTCACAAGACAAACGTAATATTAAGCGACGACATTTATTGGTCTTATCGTGGCAAAAAGACGTGAACTGGGTTTCTACACCATCTTTTCATGTCTGCAAATCATCTTTTCATCCTGTTGCTATACACTAGTTTTGCTGGGACAAGACTAGTTCTACCAACGTAGAGGAAGGAAATTGCCCAGCAGCCTATTTCTGGACGTGATCCGAGAAATCTGAGAATAAAAGAATAAGAGTTTGATCTCAAGGTTTTCACCTTTAGGACATTAAACTGAACCTTTAAAGACCCTACTCTTAATCGATCAGAAATGACGAAGAAATAGAAAATGAGAATGATGTCTTCAAAAGGTTGGATGTCTCGTGATTTTGGAATTATAATTTTCTTTGAAGATTGTTTGAGTAATTTGTCGAACTTTCAGATGTACATCTGCACAACAGAGGTTCAACGGCCTGAGCGTGATATTAAATCGATGTATTAGCCTACTTTACAGAACATTACGTATAAAAAAGGGCCAAAAAAAAAAAACCCGGGCAATGATACAAAAGTCTTTTTATATCCCTAGTTCTGAACTTAGGAAGGTCAACACCAACCATTTGCAATCCTACAGACTTGCGTTTGAACAGAAGAACGTGGGATATCTTGCTCATTAAAAAAGTACTAGTATAGAAACAGATAATTTGCAATATGAGCTCACGTCTTTTTGGCAGGATATAGAAAACACGAGGTTTTCAACGAATGCTCGAGTTAGTGTAAATGAAAAAGGAATGATGAAATGAATGTTTCTTTTTATTGCTACCTGAAGGAAAACATATCCTTTGTTACTTGTTTCCTTTTGGGTTTGGGCATCGGTGTCTGGATCGGAGACAGCGGGGTTTGATAAAGGAGGATAGACACTTGTCCAGTTTGGCAGAGTATGTAATGTAATAACAGGAATTATGCACTGGTCTTAGTATTATTATTTTAAAGTATTACTGCCTTCTCAGTTGCATCCGGTGAAACTTTTGCTGAACAAGAGAGTTTATTTTTGTCTGGTCCCTGCAAAACTGAAATCAATAAATTTTTTAAAGGTGCGTACTCTGGGGAAATAACTGGCAACTATTCTGCAGATGGGAAGTTGGACTTGATTTACCCTCATTACATTGTCAGTGTTAATCCTCAAGTTGTTAATGATAAATAAGGAACACGAAAACATTTTTCGTATTTGTTGTATGATTTTACGAGGCAATAGTACTGAAATGACAACAGAGAGGACAGCGAAATTGGCCAAAGAGAGAGGTGATGAATTATAATAATGAAAACAAAATCGCCGATATCGAAGTTTTTGTTTTTGTTTTCACTGAACTGTTTCTGACATGCTTGCATAGGGCTGTCAAATTGTCTTCCCTAGCTCGATTAAGCAGACCCGAATACTCAGACAAGTGTCTATCCCACTTCAAAGGTAGTATTTGTAAGAAGAGTGGATCAGTGAACTCTGTTATTTCGTAATAAAACATCTGTTGAGACAAACGCTGTCGTGCGTAATGATATACTTCCTATTCCATGCAGAGGGCATAGCCTTAATACATAACATCACATCCACAGTGAAAGTTCTGTAAGCTACAACATATGGGACAAGTCCTTGAACGTCTTAAAACTTTGTCCTAAAAAGTCGCTTGTAGATGCAGTTAACAGAATATACATTGGGAAAATATTGTACATGTCCACGTGTGTTTTTAGAATTTGTTTATAAAACTCGACTCTTAAGATGTAGTTAAAGGAGATATATATCTGTCACGAAACACAAGCATGGTCTTTTCTTGTGTTATACGGAGAAGTAGGACTTCACTATTCTTCTCAGATTTCAGAGGGCCTGTGTGTTGTTAGTTGTGGAAGAAATCAAATGTCAAGACCGTTACCTTACACCATAAATATTCGAATTCTATAGTAAGGAAAGTTGAAGTGACAGAGGAATTTTTTAAAGACTGGAAGATAAAGAAAGAAGTAACTGAGAGAAAGAAGACAGAAAGTGGCAGGTAAGAGGAAGGAATATCGGTCGAAGGAGTTTCTTTCTACGTAGGTAAGTTCGAAAGTGTGTGCGTGTGTGTGTGTGTGTGTGTGTGTGTGTGTGTGTGTGTGT